ATAATAATATTAAATTATATAATTTATTATATAATAATAGTTTTTTTGTATTATATTAAATATAATAATAAATATATATTATATTGTAATTATATATATTATATTATAGTAGATATAATATAGTAGTAATTTTTAGTTATTCATAACAATTCAACCTTATAATTTAACAAATACTTTACACTGATTTTGGTACCAAAACATGTACTATAATTATAGTTTACCAAACACTCATCTGCTTTTTCTTTCAGCGTAGTTAAAAATAATTTTTTCAAAATCTATAGCAATATCAAACTAAGCCAAGATCATTTTAAGGGCTTGATTCCCTTGAACAAAAAACGGCCTAAAATTTTCACACATAGCTAGTGTTTTCATTTTTTTTTTCTTTTTAAGAAAATAATTGAATAATCTATATACTTCTAGATTAAAAAAAAAGCGTTTTTAAAAGCTTTTTTGCCCAAAAAAAAATTGTTTTAATTTAATAAAAAAAACACATAAAAAATAATACAAGTTTTATAGATCTAATAATTTAAAACGAAACCATATTAAGAGTTTTTTTTTTTTCTTTTAGAGGTATGATGTTTTCTTCAAATTCTATCACAAACATCACCTTTTTTGGAATGGACTATAGTCAAATGATATTAATTACGATGTCTATAATAATACATTATTTAAAAAATTTTAATTTTCTGAATTCACTTCTTCATCCGTTAATAACAGTAGGAAACTGACTCTTAAAAAATAAAAATAAAAATAAAAATAACAGTAGTAAACCATAAAAATTTTCCCTAAATAAAAACCATAAAATTTGTTTGTTTTGGTTGGATACCGCTTGCAACATAAAATCGAATATGTGATCCAAATTTATATAAAAAAGAGGTGTCTAACAAAATGGCACACGATTCTAGACGATAGTTTCCAAAGTTGGAAATTTCCTTACGGGAAACGCTAAAAACGGCGCCGTTCCCTCATTAATGATTGCTGGATTACGCCATCGACCTAACGCTCCTCATAACAGGAGCGGTGACGTTTCTATCATTTCGCTCTCTGCAATTCCATGGACTCCAAAGCTTCAACACCTCCAATTCCTGCTTCCGATGCTTCCCAGAATCGCAAAACCCCAATCCCACCGAATCCCAAAGTCGACAGAGATTTCCTGAACCATCTCGAAGCTTACCTCGCAAAACGAGATGGCGTCGACAAGCTCCTGAAGATCTCGCGGTACGCCACCAAGATCATCCTCGCCTCCTCCGCCCTTTCCGAAACCCTAACCCTAACTCGCCGCCTCAAGAGCTTCGAGACCAACGTCGGCGTCAGCCGCAAAGCCTTCCGCCTCGGGAAATTCGTCCAAGACGTGAACGCCCTTAGGAATTCCCATTTCGATTCAAAGGAGGAGCTAGTCCTCTCCGTGATCGCCTACGGAGGCGAGGGGTTGTACTACTTCGTCGAACAGTTCATTTGGCTGGCCAAATCGGGGCTGATCGATCCGAAACATTCGCGAAATCTGCAGAAGATCAGCGCTTGGGCGGAGTTCATCGGCTACCTCGGGAGCATGTCGTTGAAATTTAGGGATTTGAATCGGATTTGCGAAGACGAGGCCTGTCTGGAATCGAGCATTGGGATCGCGATTACGAGAGGAATCGGGTTCAAGGAAGAGAACGAGAGATTGAGGAAGCTGAGGGAGAAGAAATTGATGAAGAGACTTTCGATCGTTCAAGATTTGGCCGATGGATTGATGGCTTTGGCGGATATTAGGGACGGAAAGGGGCTGCTTTTGGGGCCTCTTTCGGTTTCGTGTGCGGGGCTGTTATCGGCGCTGATCAGCACCCACAAGAATTGGATATCTTGCTAGAATTGGTCATCTTTTTTTCAAGGTATTATTGGTCGATTGCTTTGTTTTAGATAATGAATTTGGGCAAGAGGATTAATTAGAGTAAAATCTGTTTTTTATGTGGTATTATCGCCCTGCCCTTGGGAGGTAACAAACTATATACTCAAACAATAAAATGATACATTGATATTTGATCTTGCGTAAGTTGGATTTTTTGTTTTGGTTTTGCCTTCTGAAACATGTAAAACTTATGCTAGTGAATGGATATTAATTTCGTTATATTGTTGGATGGGACTTTCTAGCAAAAATAAAAAAATAATAAAAAAAAGTATGGGACTTTAGTTTTTCTTCTGAAGAAATGAAGGTAAGGAGATCATGGTGGAAGACTGGAAGTCTCACATGAGCAGAAAGACGGTTTTCATTATCAAATGAACATGTCGCTTATCCTTATGGAACAAACGACGTGCAATTTTTTTATGCCGAGAATGACCTGTCGTTTTTCTGTAAGAGATGAATTCCATGCCATTTTTCCCATTCAGTTCTCCTGTCGCATTGTCGTTTTCCCTGCAATTAGACATGCGGCTCCCGCGCTATGTTTATTTTCTGATATAAACGACATGGTTGTTCATTGCAGGAAAAATTACATGTTTTCTTTTAGCGATGACTTGCATGTCGTTTATCTTAATGCAAATCGAACTTCTTGTTGTTTTTCTTTATGAAGTCTTCCAAGTAATCCATCATATGTTTATCCATTAGAAAAAGACGTGTCCTTTTTTATTGCAGGACAAATCTCATGCAAGTTTTGCTTACTGTAGTTTCTCATAGAGGTTACATCTCGCTTTCCCTTTTGCTTGACGAACTTCATGTCGTTTTTATTGTTGTCGTTTTCCCTCCAATACGACACATCGTTGCGTGATGTTTATATTCAATTGGCAACGACATGTATCCTTTATAGTCTATTTGGTAGAGGAAGAGATGGAGGGAGGGAGATCACGGGAGGGGGAGTCAATTCATCGTTTGTTTGGAGGGACAGGTGAGGTGGAGGGGACTCTCTTTTCGGGTCTACCGTTTTTGCATCCATCTACTAATGAAAAGAGTTATGCAATTCACTAATTACATATCTAATAAAATTATTTTCTCCTTCAAAAAGTTTAGTAGGAATAGAAAAAAAGGACAATATAATAAATAAGTAGATATTAATCCATCCATCTTTCTAACTCTTCCTCACTCCTATAAAAAAAACATGAAGGATTACCATAATTCTTTTCATCCTTCCTTGGTATTCCTCATTCCTCTAACTCGTGCATCCTTCCTCTACTCCTCTTAGGATGAACTACATGTCATATTTTCTTTTGTAGCAAGAATTTCATGTCGTTTTTTATGTACAGTAACTATTAATACTAATATAGCTATATAGAGTGAACTGAAGAGAGTGATTTTTTTTCCCTACTTGGCTGTCCTTAAAAGCAAGTTTAAAGCCTCGTTCAGTTTGTGAATTCGAGTTTTTAATTTAAATTGAGATGTAATTTTATATAAGAGTTTTTCACTGTAGTAGAAAAGTTAGACGTGAATTTTTGTGAGAGCTTTTAACTGTAGTAAAATTAAAATTGAAAACTCAAATTGGTGAAGTGAATAAGGCTTAAAGTTTCAAAAAAAAAAAAAAAATAAGTTTTTTAAAGAGAAAATCGACAAGCAAGCTATCCTCCTCACTGCGTCATCCCTATGCTTGCCTTGGCGAATTTTCTAACAAGTAAAATTCATCGTTAAGAATTCTAACTTTCTCAAAACAAACCAAATTTAAAATGTCATTACTCTATTTAAATTCAAAATATATGAAAATTCTTTGTATCTCTATATGTACATCGGGACAGGACAAGGATTGATCCCTTTAAGCAATCCTTTTGTTTGGGACAAAATGCTGTTGCATTATTGTCCTAAACCAATTAGCAATTCTCAGCTGTGCCCCAAGGGGTGTCCTTGTGTGCGGAGAAAATTGCCATGGTTGCTACCAAAATAAATAAAAAATAATAGAGCTTCTTATTAGTTAAAAGGAAAAAAAAAAAAAAAAAAAGTAGCTTGCGTCTCTCTCTCTCTCTCTCCCTTTTTCCAAAATGACAGTTCCAACAAGAAGACAATAGCAAAAATACAAATAAGATCATCACTTAAAATTATCGTGTTGGTTCATTTTCGTTATTGGCTAAACGTAAGACACATTATTAACTCTTGAAGTTTATCCAGCATTATTTGTTCACTTCTAAAAATGTTATTTACAAATTTTTAGATGGGGAACACGTTAGGATTGTTATAAAGCTAACAAATCCTACGGCTACTAGGTTAAAATCCGCACCAACATATTAGCGTGATTACAAAGCAATTACATGATGCCGATCTTTTGTAATCGCATGTTACCGATTAACGGCTAAAATACATAAGCCACAACAGATCTACACAACAACGCCCATAGGAAACCTCAGCTCGTGTTGGTGGGCGTAGTCGTACGATATCTTTTTCCTCTCTCTCTTACCTCGGCTTGTCTCCGCAAGCTTCACGGGACCATGGCCTTTTTCCAGATTGGCAGATCCAACAACAACAAAAATAAGTAGAGAATCACTCTCGGACTAGAACTTCCTCTCAGAAAAAAATCCCCGAAAACCCACAACAATGTCTATCCAGTAGACAATCTAATTCCGATTTCCCCAAATCCATGGAGTCCGAGCTCAAAGACATGACTTCCTCATCTCCGCTGGAGCCCGAACCGGCCCGGCGCAGCCACGACGACGGCGCCTCCTCCAAGGACGACCGGCCGCTCCTGAAGCAGGAAAACTCAGGCTCCGCCGTTGCCGCCACCGGCGAGAGCCTCGAAGAGCTGGAGAAGAAATTCGCGGCTTACGTGCGTCACGACGTGTACGGCCCGATGGGACGCGGCGAGCTGCCGTTGACGGAGAAGTTCCTGCTAGGGCTTGCTCTGGTGACTCTGGTTCCGATTAGGGTTCTGGTAGGGATGATCGTTTTGGTGGTTTATTACTTGATTTGTAGGGTTTGCACGCTGTTCTTGGCTCCGAATCGGGATCAGGATCAAGAACAGGAAGATTACGCTCACATGGGAGGTTGGAGAAGGGCCGTCATCGTCGCTTGCGGGAGGTTCCTCTCCAGAGCCATGCTTTTCGTGTTTGGGTTTTATTGGATCAACGAGACCTATCGGATTCCCGAATATGATTCCAAATCAGCCGCAGAGGTACATATCCAATTCTTTTCCATCAGATAAAATTTTTGTTAAATTTGGCGATTTCTTTGTCTAGAGAATTGAGCTTGAACTATTGCTAATTCAAGTAGTTCGTTTGCTTTTCAGTCTGAAGAAGAGCCAGGAAGACCTGGGGCAATTGTATCTAACCATGTATCATATGTGGATATCTTGTATCACATGTCTTCTTCTTTTCCAAGCTTTGTTGCTAAGGTTTGCTCACTTACCGTTCTATTAACTTTCTTATATTGTTTTTAAGAAAGAAGTAACTTAAAGAGCCCTTTTATGTTTTAAATACTGACTGCTTTTCTTTGGCACTTTCAATTTTGTACTGGATTTTGTTGGTGAAGAGATCAGTGGCTTTTTTTTTTTTTTTTTTTGGCACTTTCAATTTTGTACTGGATTTTGTTGGTGAAGAGATCAGTGGCGAAGCTTCCTCTAGTTGGGCTGATTAGGTTGGTGATCGTGTATTTTATCGTGATGATTACTTACCTAATTTGAATTGTATGAAAAGGAGACTAAATTATTGTCCATGTTTTTCTTTTCTGTCCTCAGTAAATGTCTTGGTTGTGTCTATGTTCAGCGGGAATCGAAATCTTCCGACTTCAAGGGTGTTGCTGGTACGTAAATCTTAACGCACGTATACGTGAGTCAGTTATACGTTGTTAATTTTGACGTAGATAGTGGTCTACTCTTTCTAATCCTCTATTTATTTCTCCCTAGCACGTAGTTTGATTTTCAGAAACGCTTTTTGAAGCATTTTGGGCTGCACGCTATTCAAGAGTGGTTGGCATGTATGAAAAAGATGCATTTACTCAGTTAGCCTGGAGTATAGTGTAGTGGTGGGAAAATGTATTTCCTCATTGTTAAATCAAATTTTAATTCCTTGGTCATTTTGCAGCTGTTGTGACTGAGAGAGCTCGCGAAGCTCATGAGAACGAGAATGCACCCATGATGATGCTTTTTCCAGGTCCTTCTATCTTTCATTCTGTTGTTCTCAACAACAGAAAACCTAGTTTTGAATCCATTTCTTAGCAGGACAAAAGCATATTGTTTGTCATGTGTTAACTATCTTATTTATATTACAGAAGGCACAACTACAAATGGGGATTTTCTCCTCCCATTTAAGACGGGTGCTTTTCTTGCAAAAGCTCCAGTTCTTCCAGTGATCCTGAGATATCCATACCAGAGATTTAGCCCTGCTTGGGACTCAATATCAGGGGTGAGTGTTTCCAAGGGAATTAAACTTAGTGTCCTCTAAGAATATACAGACAGCCCAAGTTAAAATTAACACACATTATATTAGCCCTTTTCCCTTTCTGTTGAGAATCTTAAGAATCCCCTTGTATACTAGTGGCCTAATAAACTCATAGCAATTATAGTTTTGTCATCGTCAGATTTTTCTTTCCCCTTTGGGTTCTCATTATTTTAATTTGCAGGTACGCCATGTGATTTTTCTTCTCTGTCAATTTGTTAGTTACCTGGAGGTGATTCGATTGCCCATCTACTATCCAAATGAGCAAGAAAAGGAAGACCCAAAACTTTTTGCTGATAACGTCAGAAGGTTGATGGCTAGAGAGGTATGCATTATGGTATAAAAGCTTCTTTTGCTTAAGAGGATAACTAATTGTTTATTCATCAGAGATTTAGTGAGGAGTTCTAGCTGAACAACAATTCATTTGCCGTAAGATAGATGATTTCTCTCTGAATTGCTAGTGATACAATTTTTGGTTTCAACTGTTTCTTTTGTTCACCTGCAGGGCAATTTAATAATGTCGGATATCGGACTGGCTGAGAAGCGAATATATCATGCTGCTCTCAATGGTAATAATAGACTGCCTACTGTTTTGCATCAGAAAGAGGATTGATAATTAGGTGGCCTCGCTCCCAAATGATATCTAGTGGCGGTTGAGTTTTTCATAGTTTTGAATGTTGTTTGGTCATGACTACACAACCAAATTATGGGGTTGTTTATCATTTCCCTAACTAGGCATTGGGTGTATCATTATGGACGTGTTACTGTTGTTAATAAAAATACGCGACCAATAAAGACAGTGCGTTTAAGGCTCAAATCTTAGTAGTCTTTGTATTCTCTCTACATTAATATGCCTTACAACCCTTTTGGGCAAATCTTTGCCTCTGTAAATCTGAACATTTCTTTCATGTGTTCCTGCAGGTTTGTTATGCCAATGCTAATTTCGGATCCGCCATCTGTATATTCGTTTTGCGATTCTACTATAATAGGAAATATGGTGTTTACAAGGAAAACCATGTTCCGCATAAGTAATCTTTTGTTCACATTAATTCAAATTGTATTCATCTACTTACATTTTTTTTTTCCTGCAAGTTTTTTGGGTCTGAAAATGAGGCCTTTCCATTCTTGATGGTTAATCGAGGGTCCAAAGTGTTTCTTTTCCGATTAGAAATTAAGGATTCAAAAGTTGATCTATCCCGTTAAAACATAGCTTTCTTGGGTGTTCTGCTTGAATCTTTCTTCGAAAGCGAAAGCCTAATGGTTTGTAAGAAGTGCGAACGCATAACTACATCAGACCACGGTGGACATTTTTCTAATAGCACATTCATATGTAACGAACTATTCAGCTGAAAAACAAGAAAAACGCTCTGACCATTTCTCCAACTGTGTGTGGTCTCGCACGTCCTAAACCCCAAGTCAAACTGTTCTCTATATGAAAATGAGGGCCATTAAGTTCATTCGTTTAAGTCATTTAGTTCGTGCGTTTAACTAATAATTTTGATTTATTGACTAACTTTGTAAGAAAATCGTTTGTCAAAAATTTTTAAATTCAAATTAATTGTAAGAAGAAAACACTATTAACAAAATTATAATCATGAATATAAATATATTTGCCAAACAGGGCCTCAATAATTGACTTTTTCATGTTCCGAAACAATCAATAATATACTTTGCACAACTATCTCTCTGTGTCGGACAACTACTTTCTTTTAGCGAGACAACGATCTTTTTTCCTTTTTTCGGTTGGGACAACTTCGTTTCTCTTTAAACATTTCTCACTAGTGTTTCTTATGTCAACATGAGGGCTCATGCTGCAGCCTCATCTTGCTGGTTCAACAGGAAGAGCGATGACAATTGAAGTTGAAGCCTCAATGTAAAGTAGTGGCATCAAAGTGGGAAAAAAAATATGGGGTCCAAAAATGTGGGAATTTTGAAGTTAAGATAATGTACCTAATTTGAACTAATTGGACTTTCCTCTGATCGTTAAGTCTATATAAGTTCTAACATTTTATACATATATATATATGTATAAATTGTTGCTGATCAAAAGTAGATGTTAAGTACTTGAATATGGTAGAAAACTACTTTGGGATTACAATGCTCTGGAACCATGGCTTGCAAGATATCTACAATGGTCCCGTTCATTTCGCTGATTCGAGTTTAGAATTCGAGTTTTTTTACAGTAAAAAGCTCTCATAAACAATCACATTTAAGTTTTTTGCTACAGTATAAAGCTCTCACATAAAATCATATCTCAACTCGAATTAAAAATTCGAATCAACGAACTAAACGGACCCAATATGTTTTAGGCTGATAATAAGATTCTAACTATAGAGAAGGAGGCTAACAACAAGATTTACACTCCGAAATGGCAAAAACCTATGCCGTACCCGTATACAACTTGGGCTTAGCATGCCCAACAAATAGTAGAGGGAAAGAAACAGGAGAGAGGAAGAGGCGAGAGAAGAAACCATGAGCATTTTCTTACAGATTTTGACAGTAGACGACTAGAAGCTAAACAATGACACATCTCAGTCCTCATTCCCAGAAACCTGGGAGAACAACAATTGTAATGATAGGCAGCCTTCTAGTGTTGGTGTCAGATCAAGGTACTCTACAAGTTTTCCCTCTTTAGACTGGCTCTACGGAGTCCGGTCACAGAAAAAAAGAAACATCCATGGACTGGAATGACACAAACTTTCTGTTTGCCTTTTTACCTTTCCTTCAAGGAGCCGTTGCTCGACTTTTCTAATAGCACATTCATATGTAACGAACTATTCAGCTGAAAAACAAGAAAAACGCTCTGACCATTTCTCCAACTGTGTGTGGTCTTGCACGTCCTAAACCCCAAGTCAAACTGTTCTCTATATGAAAATCAGGGCCATTAAGTTCATTCGTTTAAGTCATTTAGGCCCTGTTTATTTTGCTAATTCGAGTTTAGAATTCAAGTTTTATTACAGTAAAAAACTCTCACAAACAATCACATCTAACTTTTTTATTACAGTAAAAAAACTCACATAAAATCACATCTCAACTCGAATTAAAAACTCGAATCAACGAACTAAACGGGTCCTTAATTCGTGCGTTTAACTAATAATTTTGATTTATTGACAAACTTTGTAAGAAAATCGTTTGTGAAAAATTTTTAAATTCAAATTAATTGTAAGAAGAAAACACTATTAACAAAATTATAATCATGAATATAAATATATTTGCCAGGGCCTCAATAATTGACTTTTTCATGTTCCGAAACAATCAATAATTCACTTTGCACAACTATCTCTCTGTGTCGGACAACTACTTTCTTTTACCGAGACAACGATCTTTTTTCCTTTTTTTCGGTTGGGACAACTTCGTTTCTCTTTAAACATTTCTCACTAGTGTTTCTTATGTCAACATGAGGGCTCATGCTGCAGCCTCATCTTGCTGGTTCAACAGGAAGAGCGATGACAATTGAAGTTGAAGCCTCAATGTAACGTAGTGGCATCAAAGTGGGAAAAAAAATATGGGATCCAAAAATGTGGGAATTTTGAAGTTAAGATAATGTACCTAATTTGAACTAATTGGACTTTCCTCTGATCGTTAAGTCTATATAAGTTCTAACATTTTATACATATATATATATGTATAAATTGTTGCTGATCAAAAGTAGATGTTAAGTACTTGAATATGGTAGAAAACTACTTTGGGATTACAATGCTCTGGAACCATGGCTTGCAAGATATCTACAATGGTCCCGTTCATTTCGCTGATTCGAGTTTAGAATTCGAGTTTTTTTACAGTAAAAAGCTCTCATAAACAATCACATTTAAGTTTTTTGCTACAGTATAAAGCTCTCACATAAAATCATATCTCAACTCGAATTAAAAATTCGAATCAACGAACTAAACGGGCCCAATATGTTTTAGGCTGATAACAAGATTCTAACTATAGAGAAGAAGGCTAACAACAAGATTTACACTCCGAAATGGCAAAAACCTATGCCGTACCCGTATACAACTTGGGCTTAGCATGCCCAACAAATAGTAGAGGGAAAGAAACAGGAGAGAGGAAGAGGCGAGAGAAGAAACCATGAGCATTTTCTTACAGATTTTGACAGTAGACGACTAGAAGCTAAACAATGACACATCTCAGTCCTCATTCCCAGAAACCTGGGAGAACAACAATTGTAATGATAGGCAGCCTTCTAGTGTTGGTGTCAGATCAAGGTACTCTACAAGTTTTCCCTCTTTAGACTGGCTCTACGGAGTCCGGTCACAGAAAAAAAGAAACATCCATGGACTGGAATGACACAAACTTTCTGTTTGCCTTTTTACCTTTCCTTCAAGGAGCCATTGCTCGACTTTCTCGATTCCCATGGAGGCAAGCAACCCTTCAAGGGTGACTGTAGAAATAATGAAGAGGTTGATAACTGCTTCTGCCGCATCGAGATCGACGACAGGCAACTGAATGCACTTCTCAGGCTCCTTTTTTCACTGTCATATGGTTGGCAGTTGGGGTCGTGTTGTACTGCCGAAATCTTCAGGGCCTCAGGAAGTATACAGTTGCATAATGAACCTTCCATAAATAAACGGAAATTAAGTAAATTTCAGAAATCATTAGAATAAAGTTACAGTGGGACAGTGCTTTTTTCTCTTCTTGAAGTTTGTATTAAGATGGACCAAGTTATACATCAAAAAGGGTTTTAATACGCCACGTTATGAGCAACTATGGAAGAAGGAAAAAAAAGAAAACTATGCTAGTAAATTAGTAATAGGAGGACTAAATTACAATATCAAAAGAGGCAAAAGGTGGGATAAAGAAGGATACCTATTTTAGCCAGTCTGTTTACCCATTTTGGAATAGATTTTCCAGTTAGCTTGTAACAGAGGTCCTTGCAAAAATGGTTACAATTCTTGACGATCAGGTGATATGTATCACCATTGTACCTTGTGGACTGGCGCTCCATGAACTCCCTAACCTGAATAGGGTCCAAGCATGTCGTCCCAATAAATATCGACTTCCTGAACTTAAAGCCTGGGCATTGCCGAGGTTCAACCTCAAAGACGCCGCTCGTAGGGTAGTCATGTGCTCCAAACGCATATTCTACACCATGAACTGAAAATTGCATGTAACAACCATTAACAACACCAGAAGTTTATCTAAATCTTGGAGAAACATAAGACAAAGAGCTACAAGGTCCTCTCGATGCACTACTTCTCACACAACGTAGTTGTTCTATCCTAATCCTAATTTCTAAAAATTTCCAATACTTCGCTTTTTCATGTGCAGCTAGTTACTTATTTGGAACCCCAAGTCATCTTGTTTGTCAGGAACCACATATTGTTTTCATCCTAAGGATACTTTTTATTCTTGCTTTACACATGATCATGCTGCGATTATGACACTGAGCAAGAACAGGCAAACATCAAAATATCCCTAGTGACAGAAGTGACAGAACAATAAAGTTCACTGAATATAAGAAACAACTAAATATTACCTTCCACGCCGGAGTGAAAAATACCGAGGCCTGCCCAGTAGACATATCCATTCATGGGTGTTAAGTCATACACGTTCAGATAAACTGGTATTCTTCCTGGACCATAACTAGCTGACTTTGCTTTGGAAAACAGACAAAATCTAGTGGCAGATTTACCCCTCAATCGAAGAGGGCCAATGCATTTCCAACCTTTCTTGAGTCCAAATTTCATGTTGCCGTGAAAGAGGAACCAGATTTCAGTCAATGCCCGTCTTCAAAACTTTGCATATGACTAAAAACTAAAGCCTTTGTCCAAGGCCACGATGATTGTAACTAAAGAGTCATTAATATCATAAAGTCTGCAGACTTGTTAACATGTCACGAACTATCTGCATCACAAGTTGACAACAAATGCAGAAAAATACTAGTTAAAAAGAATTGTTTGTTTATAAGGAAATTCAAATTGGTAGCGAAGACTATGGACGAAGAGGCTAAGTCAACTAAATTTTTTTTTAATTAGGAACAAGAAAAAGAGATAATTCTTCATCTAACTGAAGGTTGGCAAACAAAAACATTTAAAAACACAATATTCGGAGTTTATATATGTGTGTGTTCTAGATCGACCAATTAACGATCTCCACTTTAGCCAAAAAAAAAAAAAAAAAAGTTTGCTGATAGAACCATCTTCAGTCATATGTGAAAATCAGAAAGCTATGAAGGGGAAATTCACCAAGTGCTTTCCTTTTCAAAAAAGAGGCGAAAAAACAAAGGTCGTGCACTCATAGCAGATTATAATTATTATGAACAAAAATACAAAAAACCCATGTACAAACGAGAAAAATTAAGGTAATTGATTTCAAGAACTACTCTTCTTAATGAAAAGGGTATACTCAAAATTCAGTAAGTTTTACTCTGAGCAAAAATTTCAGGTATGCATTTCACCAGAAAATGTAATGCAGTATCAAATTTTCCTCAAAGTTGCAGCATTTTTCTTCAGCACATGAAAACGAGCTATTTTAAAGACGAACCCGAAAAAATTATATCTGATCTACTTGAAAGTTGAAACCTTTTCAGCGAAAAAAGATCTAGCAAATTAAAGAAAATTTAGAGCACAATTTTTCAAACTAGAGATCTCGGTGAAGAAGAGGAATTAGTCTTGTTTAGGACAGAAGCACATTTTTACAACAAACCCTCATACAAAATTCCAAATCTTGGTAATTTCCGAGATTTCTCAGCAACCAAACATACCCAAAAACAAAATCAACGAAAACCCACATATAGAAAGGAAAAAAAAAAACACACACACACACACACCGCGCGCGCGCGCAGAGAAGAGAGAGAAAATAACTTAACACTCAACAGACAAACTAGGAGCTACAGAAGACTTACTGACTAAGAAGAGGCAGACATTGGAGCTCAAGAAAAGCAGCTTCCTTAGATCACAACGCCATGGTTATGGTTCAGAGCAGGGGGAAAAAAAAAGAAAAGAAAAAAAGAGAGAGAATAACACAGAGTTGAGAAGATAAAAACAACCCGCTTTCCCTGTCCCTGGATTGGGTCTCTGGGACAACCTTTCTTTGACGAAAACCAAATAAAAATTCTAGGATGGATGATGGTAAAGAGAAGTGTTGTTCAAGTAAGTAAATGAAAGCATCTCACTCGAGAATCTCATTGTCTTTTACTCAACCAGAAACCTCTCCTTTCCCTTACTTTCCTTTTTCTTTTTTCTTTTTTGGTTCCAAAAAGCTGCTTACTCTGCCACCCACCCAGTTGATTTATCCCACAAAGAGGATTACGAAAGAACCCACAAAAAAAAAAAAAAAAACCCCCCAAAATCACATCTTTTTTGTTAACTGTTCAAGTAGGTTAGTGTAACCATCATTAATTTGGTTATTTAGCAAAAACCATCATTAAGGGATTGCTCTTTTAAATTTTTGAGTTAAGGTGATTTGAATGATGATTATTTAGCAAAAACCATCATTAAGGGATTGCTCTTTTAAATTTTTGAGTTAGGGTGATTTGAATGATGATTTTAAATTGAGTTTAAGTTATAACTTAAGTTGAAGTTGTAATTTGAGTTTGTGTTTGGATGTACACATTTGAGTTATGATTTGAATTGAGAATCTTTTTGAGTTTGTGTTTGGGTGTGTCAAAACTTAAATTTATATTTATATAGTATTTTAATAAAAACTCAATGGTGATAAAAAATTTTAATAGGGTATATGGGTGAGGTTTTATTCGTCTTTTCGTTGTGAATGCATAGAAAAAAAATCATCTCAATCAGAATTAAAACGAAAAAGTTATGACATTTTTAAGAATAGAAAAAATAATGTTCATTAATTTGAGTTCGAGCTTCTGAACTCGAGTTGAAGGAAAAACTTGAACTCGAGTTCAAATTTGAGTTCAAACTTAAATTTTACAAAAGAACACCAACTTAAATAAAATTGTAACTCGACTTTAAACTTTTTCTGAATTTTATTTCAAAAAACAACCTCAATTTGGTTAGAGTTCAAAAACTTCAGTGTAAAATTAATTAGCTAGAGAAATGTTCAACAGTTCATTTAGCTTTTAAAGATTTGTTTGTTCATTTTTTTGTTTGTTTTTATTTATATATTTATTTGGCAAAAGAATCTGTTTGTTTATTTGATGGTAGCGTTTTTCATGCGGTCAAACAAGCGTGAGAGTTATTAGCAACTAGATTATTAGAATAAGTCGCTTTGTGAAATTTAATATGTATAGTGAAAAATAGTTAATCTTCAAAAGAAAAAAAAAATAAAGAAAAATATTAAAGATGTGTCCATTTCGTTGGTGTCATTGTCATATCAACAGGTCTAACAAGATTACATAAAATGAGATTCAACTATAACACTGTCCATCTTAATCTTTCGTCCTAAAGAAATAAATATTTGTTTTTTCCATGTCAAAACAAAAAAGAAAACAGAATAATAATTTTCTTTCTATTAATTAATCATGGAAGACCAAAGGGTACCTTCTCATTTTAACCAAAAAAATAATAATAATAATAAGGCATATATAAAAAATTTTAAAACAGTGAAAATGAAAGACGAATAAGACACTAGGAAGAAAAAGAAAAAAGAAAAAGGTGAATAAGACATTTGAGACCATGACTGGCGATGTGGACAATATGCAACTTTCAATTTATGAACCGCATAAATTTATAATTTCCATGTTCTATTCAGAAAAAAGTTTTAAATTTTAAAATAAAAATAATAGAAAGAGACAGTCATAATGGTCTGAAGAGAAATTCTGATTTCTCTCTTTTGGAGCATGTAAGTATGTAACATATAACATATTTGAATTTTTTCTTTTAACAAGAAGCTTGTTGAATGCGGTAAATTTGCGCCCTTTTTTTCCCATATTTTGTTTAAAATTCAAATATCCATAATTAGAAAAGGAAAAACTATTTTGTTTCTTTAAAAAAAAAAACAAAAACTATTTTGTTGCTTTTATGACGTGAAGAAAAGGAAGCAATTCTACAAAGCCTGGAGTCGCCGTAATAATTATGACCTATCTTGATTACACGAGAATGGAAGTATTTTTGGGTTGGGAATCAATCAACAAAAACAAACGACAAGTTAGAAAAAGAATTGAATTCGGCTCCAGTGTGGATCATACTTTTGCCTTATTGAAAGTATCAATTCAATTATTATATCGGCGATGATTGGGAAATAAATTACAAATCACTGAAGTCAACGCGATAAAAAATGGTGTCTATTATTAAATACAAAAATAAAAATAAAAATAAAAATAAATGAATTTTTTTTTTTTTTTTTTTTTTTTTTAAAAATGCCAGCTCTTGGTCTTACCTACAGAAGAGTACAGCTGCATCTTGTCCACCACCGCTTTTAAGGCTTTCATGCACATTCTGTGATGTCTTTGTTTTATTTCTCATTATAATACCATATTACCAATACCCCATTAATGTGAACTGCCAAATTTTGAATATATATATATATGTATATATTAATTTAAGATAAGAGTAGTGCCGGGAATAGAGATTCCAACTTGTATACTAATTTTTTGTTTCGATGCAATCAGCACCCTTTCAAACTCAAAGCCTCCACAAAGGATGATTTGTCTAAATCTTCCTCATTCACAGCTTAAAGTACGAATCCTCACTTTATGATAAAAAAGAGTTTCAGTTTTAAAAGTGACAATACTTACTTATAGGTGGATATAAGGGCCTATGGTCGATGAGTTCCAACTTTAAAAGTGACCGTGCTTAGTTATGAGTGGGTATGAAGAGTTAGTTCATGGTGACTGGTAAAACTTGAATTGTAAATGGAAAAAGAATAAGTTTAGGCCCTTGAACCTTACATTGGTGGGATCAGTTAATTAGTTCTATAAACGTTAGGCGGAGCGACTCTAAGATCTTTTTTTTTTAAGGATATTTTTCGATAGGCTAATATACTAGTAGGTTAAGTTTTTTATCCATCAGATTTATATAAAATCACGTAAAAGTAAAAAAGAACGCAGATCTAATGATTAGAAAAACATAATCTACCGGTACGTCAAGCGTATTATAAAATATCTCTTTTTTTATTAGCCAAAAAAAAAAAAATCAAAGTCCTCCACTACACTCTCTTTTATCTCGTTTTATCTAGTGATTATTGACAATTTATGTATCAAATTTTTATTAACTCATAATAAGTTATTATCTTTTTATATATAAATTCAATTTCTTATATTGATTAACGTGACACACACTATTTCATCTTGTTTAATCTCATGGTCATTGATAACTTGCATATTAATTTTTTATTATCTCATGATAAGTTTCTTTTTATTGAAACATGCATTTTCTAATATTAATTAATGTGACGACGTTTAAAACATCTAGGAATAGAAAGTGGTCAATTCACATTTTTATGAGTTGAAATTAGAAAACTATAATGAAAAGTCTGGATGTCTTATTCTTAAAATAAACAAGTGGAAAATAGGAAGAGTTCACGATTGGATTCAAATATTCCTTTTACGTATTCAATGTGTATATTGGACTACGACACTAAGTAGCCAACAAGGGCTAAAATTATTAGTGCAGAGAAATTTATGATCCACGTGTGTTGTCTCTATAATTGTTCCCAGTTTCCATGTAAACGACAGAGAAAGTCTGAAAATACAGTAATTTTTATGTTTGTGGAGGAAATTATATTTGTCCTCACTAGATTCAATAATGTCCCCACTAAATTATTATTTATATTTATTATAATTATATCCTGTATTAAAATTACATTAAAAGCCTTAGCGGATTGCTAACATCAGATTCAAAATCCTAAATCTCAGAATTTAAATAAATAAGAACACAAAGGAGTTGTTTCACTGAGGTTCGGACAAAATTGTCCTACGTCCCCGTTTCAGTTATCTCACAGAAAGTTCGATTCCACTATTAGAGAAGAATTTACACTCACACAGCTTACCGAATCACATGTCTGTCTCGTTCACTTCGCGGATTCAAATTTTCAATTTGAGCTGAGATGTGACACTTTTTGAGAGCTTTTTACTGTAGCAAAAAAAGTTGATGTGATATTTTATGAGAGTTTTATACTGTAGAAACTTAAAATTAAAAACTCAAATCGGTGAAATGAACGAGACCTCACCCAATTACAAAGACGAAGAAAATACCCAGTGAGAGATAAGAGACCCAGTTCTATCTAGATTTTCTTGGAACCCAAACACTCTCACACATTCTCTCTCTACAAGCTTGATCGTCTACGGAGCTTCTCTCTCTATAAGTCGGTAAAACTGAATATTACCCACAAAAAATATAAAGTCCCTTTTTAATACAATACAACATCTGAGTATTCTAATTAACCTAGATCCAATGGCAGACAAGAGCTCTACGTGTAAGACCGAAATCTGTACTGAGTATTTTTTTGAAATGACTTGTCGTTTGTTAAACTATTCTCTAAATATTGTCGTTTGTGGAATAACTCTTACACATAACCCATTATATTATACATATACTAAAAGAGAGGAAGAGATTTACTGTTTATTTATATGTTTGATGCAGTGATGAACAGTGTCTTTTCCGTTTTAGTTTCACTTTTTTTTCTGCTGATGTAAAATTACTATTTTGCCCTTCATTTCAGATTTTTGTGCTTTTATTTGCTGTGACCATTTTGGTCATTTACTGATGCTTTTGTTTATTTCGTTTATTCCTCTTTCATTTGTTTTCCTTCACTTCTTTCTGTAGCGGTCTCTCTCTCTCCTTCATTTGTTTTCTTCCGTAACCATCTAGATTTCTTCTTCTTCGAGACTGAGCCTGAGTTTTTTTTTTTCCCTTTTTTGTTTGTTGATTTCGGCCATTTTTTCATCCTTTCTTTCTGTTGTCATTTATCTCTTTCGTTGTTTTGCTCCTGCAATCTTCTACGGGGGTTTTTTTTTTTTACTCAGATTGGGGTTTTTTTTTTTCCCTTTCTTCCGTTTTTTCCCCTCCATTTATTGTGTTGATGATCTGGACTTTTTAGGTTGTCCTTTAATCTTTTAGGTTGATGATTTATTCTGATTTTGTTACGGGACTATTTTTCTTTAGCTCGATTTTTGTTGGAAGCCTGGGGGTTTTCCTCTGTGTTCTTCATGTGTGGGTCCTTTTGATGGGCTTTGGAGGAGACTTTAGAAATTAGAAATTTTCTTTTCTTTTTCCATTGCATTCTGGTAATGTTTTTATTTGTCATTATATACTATTTTCGCTCCTTTTTTATATATATT